ACCTGCATGTCTCCTGATTCTTAGCACAATGCTCTTTCTGTGACATTAGGTTTCCATGACCTGCAGTCTGTAATCAAGATTTGGAAATCTTCCATTTCATATATGTCTAGCCTCACCTGCCCAACAAGACGTAAACTACCTGAAGGGCAAGGGGTGTACCCCACACAAGAGGTAGAGCCTTACAACTACTTTAAAAGAGCTGTATGGACACACGTTATCATCTCCAGAGTATGCACGTGTGCGCAGACACACTCACGACCACGTACAATTTTGGTTCTGACTGCTCTTCCTAGTCCTGGCAGCCACATGTCCTTCCAAATCTAACCCTGGCCTAGTGACTGGGAGCATGCTTTCACTGCCCGAGAGCCTCTGCTGTTTTCCTGAGCCTCCAGGCAGGCCTGCCCTGTTGTATGCTTGGTTTCCCCTTGCCTGTTGTGTTGATGTATTACAATTAGACTCCAGTCCCACATGTATAGTAAGACCATACTTTGACAACAAGGTAATTACAGACAACTGGTTGACCAGAACTAAAGCCAAGTATTCCTGAGGAAACCTAAGGATCATATACATAACTGGTAGAGCACTCTGTGTCTTTAAAGAGAAATTCGGGTAGATGATTCTGTCCTCAGGTACTTTCCTGCTTGTATACTATCCCATGTGGTTATTTTTGTCAAAATATAGTCAAAGTCTCAAGTATATTTTGGAATAACATGGGAGTCACTAGAGGCAAATATTTTTCTGCCTGGAGGAATAATTCTGTATAGAAGGCGGGAAAGCACCCTTAAAAATAATACGTGGAATTATTCCGACCCTCATTTTAGATTGCTGCATGTTCAGGAAATATCACATTTTTTACTTTTATCAGTTATATTCTTTCTACTTCTTAAAAAACTATTTTAACAACCATTTTGTGTATTGTGTTCTCTTCATATTCCCGTGTATTACAGGGCAATACTGCAAGGTACAAAAAGATTTGACACTGGAGCCAAGCAATTCTGGAATTAAATCTTAATGCCATTGCTTACCAGCTGTGGGATCATGTGCAAAATAAATCACCTCTCTAAGCTTCAGTTTCCTCATTTGAAAAATGGGTGTAATAATACCTATTTCATTGAGCCGTATGAAGATTACACAAGGCAGTGATGTAAGCTGCCTGGTCCACAGTTGGTACAACAATGGAGGTAGTTATTATCATTAATATTTTTTCTTGTTAACTTATTCCATTTTGTCTGCAGTGCACTTTACCAGATTATAGTATCAGTAATGCCTTACAGGTTTTTAAATTTTTTTAATTTTAATTTATCAATATACAATGTAAATGATTTTCATGTCCCTTTACCAATTCCTCTTTCCCACTTCCCTTTCCCCCTTCCCCACCAACAACATCATATCTGTTCACTTGTCTTAAGTTCAAGGAATTGTTGTGATCATTGTATCTTCTTCCCCCGCCCCCATTAATTTATTTTTATATTTACTTATAGCTCCCACAAATAAGTGAGAACATGTGGTATTTCTCTTTCTGTGCCTGGCTTATTTTGTATATTTACTTATAGCTTCCACAAATAAGTGAGAACATGTGGTATTTCTCTTTCTGTGCCTGGCTTATTTCACTTAATATAATTTTCTCTAAGTCCATCCATGTTGCTGCAAACCAGCCCAAATGTCCATCATCAGATGAGAGGATAAGGAAAATGTGGTATATCTACACAATGGAATATTCCTCTGCTATAAAAAAGAATGAAATACTGCCATTTGCAGCATTATATGCTTTTGATCGCTACGAAACTTAACCTAAATTAAGGAACTGATCTCAATATATTCACCTTTTTGTATTTTAGATGTATTTTGTTGATCTTCTGAAATATATTTCTTTCAATACTTTAATTCTCAAATCTTGTTTATATCTATTATTTGTAAAAATGTAAAATAATATAATAGGCAGGTGGTTTACTGTATTTTCCAAAAACAGTTGCAACAATATCTACCTTCCTCCGTTTTCTTCTGCAATGTGACCTTGTCATTCACCCACCCTCTTGAACTTGGGGGGACTTTAAGACTGCTTTGATGAATAAAATATAGAGAGAGTGATGCTGTGCCAGTTCCAGGCATAGCTCTTAAGTGATTTAGCAGCTTCTGCTTTCTGCCTCTCAGGACACTGGCTCTTAGATTCTCCATCTAGGAACTTTGCCACTATGCTGTGAGAAACCCAAAATCACACAGAGAGGGCACAGGGGGGTGCTCTGGCCAGTAGGCCCAGCTGAGCTCCCAGCAGCCAGCCAGCATCAACTGCCAGCCATGGGAGTGAACCATCCTGGAAAACCCATCCAATTCAGCCTTCAGATGACTCCAGACACAGATGTCATCTGCCAGCAATTGCATGAGAAACCCAAGAGAGGACTACCAACCTGAGCCCAGATGACCCACAGGACTATGAGAGATGATAACAAAGTACCATTTTAAACCTCTAAATTTTGGGATGGTTTTTCACACAGTAACAGACAACCATAACAGACATCAATTGAATGATATTAGATATCTTTGTCTTCCCAGACCCTCCCTGCCACATAAAACATATCAAAGTAAGACATCATGACTTTTCTCTGGGAGTAGAGTCAAACCCATGGTTTGGACATGCAACTGAGTCACTCATGAAGTCTGTTCTACATTTAGGAGTCTTTATTAAGGAGTCATGAATAAAATTAACTAATTTTCTCAGGTTAACTAATTAACTAATTCTCACAGCTTTCAGGTTTTTACCTATCTGTCTAACTTTCTTAAAATCATATGTCAGATGTTTGGATAATAAATGAAGAGTTGCTAGTAAGTATTTCTTTCTTTCTTTTTTTTTTTTTTTTTTTTTTTTTTTTTTGTGACCGGTAAGGAGATCCACCCTTGGCTTGGTGTCGCTCGCACCGCGCTCAGCCAGTGAGCGCACCGGCCATGCCTATATAGGATCCAAACCCGCGGCAGGAACGCCGCTGCGCTCCCAAGCGCTGCACTCTCCCAAGTGCGCCACGGGGCCAGCCCTCTAGTAAGTATTTCTAAATTATGTAGCCCAAAGCCATTATATAAATCCAAGGCACTCTCTAAACAATACAAATCCAAGCCAGTTTGTTAATCATTTCTCATGATACACAATGAACAAATAATCTTCTAAAAACATCCCCAAATTCTGAAATGACCAAACGTGTTTATGGTTACATGGCCAAAGTAAAATAGAAGGTAATGGCAAATATTCAAATATTTTAAGCAGGGCTGCCTTTGCTGAAATTATCTACCTATATAGCTAATTCTGGTGAGCTGGTTATTTGAAGGAATTTGAACTTGAAATTTTAACACTGGCTTTGAGCTTCTAGTTCACTTTGTGCATACAAACCAATCATTTACCTGAGGTTCTCTTACCCTTACATTCCTTGTCCTACTATCATCATTAACAAAACTGAAGTTCATGTTTTTGTTTATAGGAAGGGATTACAAAATATTCTTTTCATACCAGCCCCTGCCTACTACAGCCAGTGCTTCAAGGATTCTCTGGCTGTGAATTTCTGCTGAGCAGCTGAATGCACAACAGGAAAGGAGGTGACTCAGCCACTAAAATCTAATGCCCGGGTAGTTGGAAGTAATAATGTTTGGAAAAATACCAAAAATACCAAAAGATTAAGGTTGATCCATGAAGACATCACCTGACTGTAAAAATTAAAATGTCCTCATTCTATAAGTGGGTCCACGGAGAGACATTCATGTTTTTCTTATTTTAAAAAGTATTTTTGAAACAAGCACCGGGCCGGCCCCAAACAAAAATTTTTAAATGAGAAAACACGTAGAGATAAATCACAGATAATAATACATCAAAGAAACTAGTTATCAAAAACATACAAATAGAAAAATTAAGGTATTATTTTTCTTCTGTTAGTTGGACACACGTATAAAAGACGGCCAACAGTCAGCATTAAGGATTTTGCTGGGAAACAGGTACTCTCATATATTATTGGTGAGAGTGTAAATGGCACAAATTTTCTGAAAGTATCACAGATATATCACAATATAAAATATGTACATGCTTTGGCCAAATAACTCTACTTGTATTGACTGATTCCAAGGAGAAGGTTGCACAAATGTAGAAAATGAACATTCAAGCATGTTTAATCATTGTTGGTTTTATAAAAGTGAAAATGCAACTTGGGACTGAATGAGTACATATATTTCTATGTAAAATATAATAAATTCTCTTTAGTGTTCTATTCATTAGAATTAAAGTTAGTACATAGATTTATGTTCTATTGGATGTAAATATACTTAACTGGTACAAGTTAAAAAATTATTAAATTAGTATAGTTAACATAATCTCAGTATTGCTAAAAATGTATGTATATGTCTAAACCCATACATGTGTATACTCATGTCTATAGTACATGGATATATGTGTATAATAGATAATTTAGTACTATTTTATTATGTTGTTATATTTTTCCTTGTTTTAATTTTCCTCTGATATTATTGTTTTTGTGACAAAAATAAACTGTCTTCAACATAACTTTCAAATTTTCATTTAGAATAGTTGGAGAAAAAAAGTGCAGTCATACCAATATTTGATACCACTAATTTGATGAACTGAAGATACTCTGAAAGAAATTTTTTTCAAAGAAAACATCCTGAGAGAATAAAGGGAAAAGTGTCTACATAAAATTTGTCTCTCGATCTCTATTCACATACACACACGTTCATATTTACCTAGGATTCCTAGCTACAAATGGATCACACAGGCAAACTGCAAAGGGAAGCTTTTAAAGAGGTCTTTAGAGTGCATAAAATTATAAAGTGCTTGTTGCTTGTATCTTGAGAAATCCTAAAATGCTTCTTCAATTTTCTTTTCATTTTTCCTTGAGGCCCCACACCCCCAAATTCTGGTATATGAATATGTGAATATGTTTTTCCCACTGCAAGAACGAGTTGATAAGGAAACTAAATTTAAATGGAAATGTGGCAACTTTGCTCTGAGAAATACATTACAAACATCACCACTACATTCTTTCCTCCCCAAATCAGTGGTTTAAAAATAAATTTCATTCTAGACAGATGAATTATCCAAACACATTATATAGGCTACTAACATATATATTGTATATTTGACTTACTTCTTTCAACTTCAGGTTTCAGCCGTTTATTTTTGATGAGTATTTTTCTTTTGAGGTCATTGGGGGATGGCAAGGTTCTGCCTGGTTCGAGCTAGAGGTATATAGAAAGAGCTGAATTAATGATGACTTGGGCTTCTCCATTCTCTTTGCCATCCCAGATAAGCCTGGCAGACCTGAGAGTTATGCAATCCAATATCCACTAGATGACAAGACAGTTATATGTTTTCATTCTCCAACTCAAATTAGCTCACCATATTCCAACAACTTTGCCTTAGACTAATGCTGCAAACCTAATGTTTGCACCTTAGGTATCCGGTAAAATACAAGGGATCATTGTGACAACTTGGGTCAGAATTAGCTTTCCCAGGTTAGAGGCTCCCCAGATCCCCCCAACTGTCAGGCTGTATGCTCAGCAGGTTGATCCAACCTCAACATTTGAGATTGTGGCTTTGTGGGTTCAATAAAAGAATCAAGAAGGGAGTGGTCCTAACTACTGGATCTACCATGACATCACTTGCCTGGATTTATATCTGCAAAGAAGGTGTCCTTTGATGCTACTACCTGTGATCCATAGACAGATCTGTCCTATAACTAATGGACCATTCTCCATCCCTGACACATCCACACGTATACTCACTCACCCATCCAACTTTCCATGTATCCCTTCATTTTTAAAACTGATTTTATACGACTTACTACGTGCTAGGCACTGTACTTTCCTAGCACTGTGTATGTCTTGCCTCAAATGAAACCTGAAATTGCTGAAATGCTGCTTCCTGCAGGCAGCTGGTATAGCTATTCTATTCCCCAAAATGTCTCTTGTACACCTACAACAAATAATCAATGTTTCACAGACCACCTTCTTTTTTAATTGTGCGTTTATATTTGTGTCCTGTTCCCATCACTGCCCTGCCGTCCAAGATTGAAAGCTCTTTAGTTAAGGGAGCAGGTCCTACTGCCACTTATATTATCTGTGCTTCCCATAACTCCTTTCATGTATGTTAACATCACTTCACTAAGAATACAATGGTCTTTCCACAAAAGCAAGCACCTTAACTCTACCAGAAAAATAAACAGAGGGCCTAGGTAAAAAATAAACGAAGTAAATCAGGAATATTTCTGAGTTTAGATTCCTTTAGACTCAGTCTCTGAGATAAGAATTATTGCACCAGTAGTTTATCTGGGAGGTAGACTCAGGGAACATAAAAAGAGGAGTGGGAAAGTGAGGAAAAGAAGCTGGGCACCAATCAAGGGTGTGTTACAGAGCAAGTTATCACTGTGGGCAGCTATAGCTCAATCCTTCCGGGGAACCCTGGGAGACACAGGAGAACAGGTGCTCAGAGTTACCCCATCACCAGCGTGGTGGAGCATGGGGTGGGGGTGTTAATTCTCTGGCACTTCTGGCCTGTCTTTCACATGTGGGCAGAGGAGGCTCCATTGACCAGAGCTCACTCTCAGGCAGAAAGCTGCAGGTGCTACAGCTGAAAGTCGGGCCAGTGTGCAGGGAACCAGGAAGCGATGCAAAGATACAGGCAGGGCACCTGCAGCGAATGCTTCAGTAGGCTGAAGAGAGTCAGGAGTTGAGAGCAAAGGAGGCAAATACCCTTGTCTCCCATGTTTTTTTCATTGTTAAAACACCCAAAGTATTCACATGTAGCACAAAGCACCTTCCTCATGTCGGTTACTGTGATGTTCTTCCACTACCTCCTGCTACCATGTTTGGGCTTGTCAGAAGCTGCCTGTCAACAGTGGGGTAAACTATTTTACTGCCATACAGTGTTCTGCACTCTAATTTCATTGGCTATTGTGCTACTTATAACATCTGTGACAGTGGACCTCTTGGAGGTCATGGATCCTTACAAAAATGTGATGAACTCTCTGGAATGATTATATATAAGAGATTGTATGCAATTAGAATGAATTCATTGATCCCATAAAGCCTACCTGTGGGCTACAGGTTAATATCCTTTGCTTTCTGAAGAAATTAGCAGGTATAGAATGAAGTTCAAAATGTATATATAACATTACTGTAGTGGATTGAATTATGTCCCCCCAAACTCACTGAAAGCTTGAATTGCGTCGCCCAAGTTTTATATATTTGAAACTTGGTCCCCACTGTGACTGTTAAGAGGGTGGGAAATCCTATTATGATAATTGAAAAGTGGGGCCTTGAAGAGTTGATTAGATTGTATGACCAGGCAGTAGTGAATGGATTAATAATGGTGGGCAGGGGTGTGGTTTGGAGGGCTTTAAAAAGAGAGTGAATGAGGAGGTTAGTCTCTCTCTGCTCTCTCTGCTTTGCCATTTCAAAATGTGATACCCTGTGTCACTGAAGTCACCACCAAGACCCTCAACAGATGTGTTCCCTGGACTTTGGATGTCCCAGCCTCTGAAACTGTATGCAGTAAGTTTCGTTTTCTTTATAAATCACCCAGTTGCAGGTATTTTGTTATAAGCAACAGAAACAGACTAATACAATTGCCAAAGTATTTATTTTGAAGTTGGGAACTTGAACGTCAGGATCCTGTGACTTCAGTCTAGGGCACTTTCCATTGCAACAGGCTCCCATGGGTTCTGAACCCTGGATGCACATTTGATCTACATAGAGGGCTTTTAAAAAACACCATGCTCAGGCCCAACTCTGGATCAGTTAAATCAGTCTGAGTGGGGGCCCTAGCACAGGTGTTTCTAACAGTTCTCCCAGGTGATTCTAACATGTAACTAAAGTTGAGAACAACTGTGGAATCTAGACTCAGCCTGAGTATCAAATTTTAGGACTGAGATCTGAAAAACCATACGACCCCAAGATCTTCCATATTAAATTGAACCAGATGTTTATTTTATGTCTCTCTCTACATCCTTTTGAAGCATAATGAAAGTTTTCTGTACCAAAGAATTTAAATAAATACAAAGATCTTCAGCATTAGTCCTCCAGGACTACTTGACCCTTCAGAAATGAATTTCAAAACAAATCCATTCATATTAGAAATATGGTTGCTAAAAATACTTACTGGATGTGATTCAAGTGCTTGTTTCAACAGGAGATCCCCAAATAGATCTTCACAGTATTTGGACATCTTGTACTGTTGATATTTGCTGAGAGAAAGAAGTGGCATTTGTAAATTCAAACATCTAATGGATCCAAGAATAAGAAACACCCATTCCTGGGCAATTAGACTCCCACTCTGCAAAATGCACCAGTGTCCTCTTAACATTAACATGACACATAGTTCTAAATACCACCGACTTCAACTGATGTAATTTAAAAAGGAGTAGTTTCTGCCCCAAAACTATGAGTTGGTAAGAAGAAAAAAAAATCTCTCAAGTTAACCAAGTATGATTTCAAATATAATGCCAAATCTTCCAACTCAAGGGAACTTTAAGCAAGCTGTGCCAACCTCTGATCTCTAGTTTACAGCAAGCATTTCTAAAACACATTAAGACACTTGTTCTATTTTTTTGGTGGAGGTTCGGGGGTAGTGGTGGATATTTGTTTGTTTTTGTTTTTTTTTTCATAAGACTATGTCTTTATCAGGGAATTATTTTGTACTTAGTACTTCACGAAACAAACTATTCAGTTATTAAAAAGGATGTAGAATTGGTAAAGGGACATGAAAACCAACTACACTGTATATTGATAAAATTTTTTTTAAAAGGGATGTTCAGCAGGAGTAGGGAGCGGAAGTCAGGAAACAACACCTCTAGACTGGGAGTAGAATGAGTCATTATACCTGCAGTGATTTTCAAAGGAGAGAATTACAGGATATTCTGATGTGACAAATGCCGTTTCCTTGATGGCTTGAATTACATCCTTTAAAGATAAAGAATGTTAATGAGAGAAAAGAGCAAAAAATTTAAGGCACCTGAAACTATTCAGAAACTTTCAGAAAATCCATTCTGGCAAATCACATCTGGAGAACCCATCTAGTGTAATACCTCTACAGGTTGAGTTCCCTCTGGTTAGACCCTGGATGCAGTTAATGATTAATGACAATTTTTTTCAGAGCAGTCTTTTACTTCTCTAGAATTATGGTGCTATTAATTTACAAGAGATTTAGTCTACATGGCATGTCGGTGCCTTACTTGATAATCTGCCAAGCCAGGAGTTCAGAGTTCATGTTTCTCTTTAAAGAGCAGGCAAGCTTTGGGCACAGTGATTTCACTACAAACCACTCTTTGACCCCTCCACCTCATGGAGAAAGGTATTGGTAATAATTGAAGGACTGTTGGAAGCTTTTATTGACTTTCCTCTGGGAATCAGTCTTGGGCTGCATTCCATTCATTTGACGTAGAGTCCTATGTACTGATGTTACATCTGCAATATCCCTTGTTTCATATTAGCCTGGCGAAGAGGGGATAGTCCAGGAGGGGGTTCTGCACGGTCAAGGAACATTTGAGGTACAACAGGGAGGTGCTCTGGGTCCCCTTCTCTGTAAGGTAGAGCTTGATCACTTGAAACAAATTCTGATATGCACGAAGTGTTATGGGTATAGGGGCTAGGCATCTGTGTTTTTGAAAATATCTCTGTTGATTTTTCGCATGTAGGTAGAGAACTGTTGTTCCAGATGTTGTAATATCTATCCTGAGTCACACCAAACTGACAGAGACCAATGTACCTGACATACTGGCCAAGCACAGAATTTCATTCTTTTGACTTGTCTTTTGGCAGAATATCATGGGCCTATTGGGAAGTACTCAATTTGAAGAAACCAGCCTTCAAATCAGACTTGAGGCACCAAAACACCATTACCGAGATGCCTGTTTGTAAAACTTAAGACTCCTCTTATGAAGATCCTCAAGACAATTTCCCACTGGTGTCAGTACTGGGAAAAACTGTGCTTCTCTGGACCAACTGCTTTGTTTGGATATTATGAATCCTGTGAATCATCATGTTTCTCTACCTGTGCCGAATTCTAGAAAGTCTGGAGTCCACTTCGTGATATGGCTTGCAAGTTTATAGGATTTCTCGACAAGTATTCATAACATTTACAGGCTCTATTTATAATCTATTTTATTTTCTGTATTCTACTTATTTTATGCCACCCTGAAGTCCTTCAGTAATACTGCAAAGTAAGTAAGCAAATAAGTAGATAAGGAAATGAAAGACTGTTAAGTAAAACTAAGTAGACTCTGCCAGAGAAACCTCATTATGTAACACAGTCACCACTTGAAAGGAGGAAAAATAGCATGAAGAGGACATTAAGTGCAGAAGACTTTTGTTTTGATTTTCTCCTCAAAAGTGAAAGAAAGAAACATGAAGGTAAAATGTTTGAGAAAATAACTGCTGCTGAATTTTCCTATTTTATCTAAAAGTCAGAGTATGGGAGTGGTGAGAAGAGTATATATATATATATATATATATAGTGGTCACTGAAGTGTGACCCCAAGAGCCACCGTTCATTTTTGAATTTTCCTATTTTATCTAAAAGTCAGAGTATGGGAGTGGTGAGAAGAGTATATATATATATATATATATAGTGGTCACTGAAGTGTGACCCCAAGAGCCACCGTTCATTTCAATCACACCTTTCTCATTCGGGGTAACTGCAGGAGAGGCCAAATACTTACACATCTTCTGTTCTATCAACCATTGACAATCTCTTCTTTTTGCTTTTTTATTTAAGCATTTACAAATTCTGAACTGATTTCAAGCTTACAGAAAAGTAAGATGATAGCATAATAAATAGTGGGCCTACACCCCAACTTTGTCAGATCTTAACATTTTGCCTTATTTGCGTTACATTTTTTAAAGGAATACATAATCACAGATGCCACTAAAGCACCCTTTGTACCCCACCTCAATTCCATTCCATTCCATCTTTCAACTGCCACATAGACCACCACTACCCTAGCTTTTGTGTTTAACAGGCCCATAATGGTTTGGCAACTTCAGTGCATATGCATTTATCCAAATAATATATGGTTTAAATGTTTTCAAATTTGTAGAAAAGCTATCCAACTGAGTGCATTTGCAAATTGCTATTTTTACTCTGTATTTTCTTGGAACATATAGAGTTGATATATATAGCTGTTCTTCATTTATTTCTTACTGGATGTATAGTAGTCCATATATGAATATGTCATAATTTATCCATTATTCTGTTGATGAATATTTAGGTCATTTCTACTACAATAAAAATTTGTGTACTTCTGTCCTTGGGTACATTCATTCATTCTAGGAGCAAGTATTTCTTGAGGCACTAGGATAGGCATAGTGTTAGAAGAAATAGACAAGCCCTGCTTTCATGAAACTCGTATATTATCAGCTAGAGAAACAAATAAACAAATAAACAGATAAATATAATATTATGAAAGTGCTAGAAGGACAAAGAAAGCAGGAAGGAAGGTAATAAAGAGTGACCAAGATGCTGTGTTAGACATGTGGCTAGTAAAAACCCTTCTGAGGAGGTCACATACCTGCATGGGAAGCAAGCCACATGTACACCGGGGGACCCCACTCCAGGCAGAAGGTTCAGCAAGTGCAAAGACCTTGATGCAGGAGTGTGTGTGCCAAGTACATTCAATGACAACGAGACAGAGTGAGTGACCAAGGAGAAAAATAGCTGGAAACAAGGTTGCAGAGGTAATCAAAGGCTACAACAGTTGGTCTTTAGTCCTCACTAAGTTCTTTGGATTTTATTCTGTGTTGGAAAGCCTTTGGAGGGTTTTGAAGAGTGGAATAAGATGACTGGATTTGGTTTTGTGCATAAATTGTAGGGCACTGAGTAGAAAGAAGACGACCTGTGAGAAGTCAACTGGCATTGTCCAGGGAGAGATAATGTAGTTTTGGAAAGTCTGGTAAGGGTGGAGATAGTGATAAGTCATTTTGGGGGATTTATTTTGATCTTGTAGATTTTGCTGATGGATCAGATGTAATGTGAAAGAATGAGACAAGTCCAGAATGATTCTAAGGATTTTGACTTGAAAAGGTAGGTGAATAATGGTACCATTTTATAGGATGGGAAAGGGACAAGTCTGGAGGTGGGAAGAATCTAAACATGTACATGAATACTAGAAATGCCCATTCGACATCCAAATTGAGAGTTCTACTACAGGTCTGTAATTTAAGTTGGAGGTTAAGAATGGAGATATTAATACAAAAGTCATATGCATATAGAGGAAACCCATTGGCCTAGATGAGCTCACCTAAGGAGTGAATACACACGGAGCAGAGGTCTGAAGACTGAGCTCTGTGCCACTCTGACATCCAGAGTTTAGGAAATGTATGAGAGATTCTCTCATGCACACCTAGAAGTGGAAATGCCTGGCTGTGTGAGAGGCACATTTTCCCCTTTACAAACTACTGCCAGCCAAGGTGGCTGCACCAATTTACACTCCCACCAGAAGTTTATAAGAATGCCTTCTGCACTGCCTTCTCACCCATACTTGACAATGACAGATTTTTAAATTTTTGTCATTTGTGAAGTGGTGAAGCTACACGTTTTAGATGTGTCAATGGTAATTTCATAGACTTTTGGGTCTTAGAAGGACTTTAGAAATAACCAAGGACACACCCCCATACAATGTTTATCACACTGCCAAGGAATTGCTGAGTCACTTGTCTTTCTCCTTAAACAGATCACAATTGCCTGCAAGGCAGGGGGCATTTCTTATTCAGTTTTGAATTTCCAGCATCTGTCACAGTGTTAGCACCCCTAAAGCCCTCTATAAAAGTTAAGGAACAAAGGGAGGAAAGAGAAATACTGCACCTCCCTTTGCTTTAATCACATGCAATGTGAAATAAATTACAATATCCAGAATATTGATAGAGAGGTAAGCAATGAAGCATTCTTGCTGAAATTAGGTGTCTGAGGCCCTAGCAAAAAGTGTCAATATATGACTACAACCAAGTTAGAAAACTCTGTTGGGCTTGGAAAAATATCAGTGGTGATGGTTGTGGGGTATAGAGGGTCAGGCATACCTATAAACAGATTCTATGTGGATCCAGAGACTGTAGAAACCTTTCAGCCAGTTTTTTCACAAAGAGAAGAGAATCCCCATTCTAAAGAAGAGGAAACTGAGGCCATGAGATTCGTGGGCACATGGGACAGATAGAACTTGAATCTGGATCTTCTTTCATTCTCCACTGAGACATAAGGACAGAGGCTTATGTACCCCCAGCACTCCCCATGCAGTTTATGGCAGCAACATCCCTCCCACCATCTGCAGGTGCTTCCCACTGCTACAGGACTGACGGATCTTAAAATCCCTCTCCATGCCTTTCCTCTGACAAACACCTGAATGGACAATGCATTATTTCCAAAGTTTCAATGAAAAGGGCAAAGGTCCAGAAATGCCAAGTCTGCAGGTGCTTCCCACTGCTACAGGACTGACGGATCTTAAAATCCCTCTCCATGCCTTTCCTCTGACAAACACTTGAATGGACAATGCATTATTTCCAAAGTTTCAATGAAAAGGGCAAAGGTCCAGAAATGCCAACAATTTGCTAAAGTGATGCATGACTATTTAATTTCATATCAATTGTATTTATCTTCCATACCAGAGGTCAAATAAGGAGTAAAAGGGTGCACCAAATCATATGTTAAATTTATTTGGCTCGGCAAAACAAAAGGGAGAAAAAGAAGGTATGCATTTTTATGTGACAAAAATTCTTTTCAAAGACTGTAAAAATTGGCATTTTTACATTTTAAGCAATATGCATTACTATAATATAAGAAAATACCTGGGGAAAATATCACTATACTGTGTTTAATAACAATAAATTTAACAGTATACTTCAGGCAGCATGGACTAATTCTACTGCATGGTGAAATTTATACTAACTTAAGAGCAGGGAATAAAAATCAGTCATCAATCCCTGGCTCTTAGGGAGCTCCAAAGCATTTACAGACACCTTTAACTAAAAATACAAGGGATTTAAAAGTTGCATATTTTCTAGTTTTAAAGAAAAAAAATTCTTTTTTTTTT